AAGCATCTTTGCCTGAAAGAATAGGCCCTCCCACCTGCTCGTGGGTGCCAGAAACTCTTCCCATGGAGAACAAAACCCTCCATTCCACACTCAGATAAGGTGGGCATTGCAAATATCCCTGAGAAAGACGACCTTAGCACCATTTCTCACTAAGGTGTAAATGACTGATTTCCTTCCTCTCCTTAACAGAGAGCAGGAAACAAGCTCCAAGGTGGGAAAGATGGATTGCTCTTTTTTCAAATTTTTTTTTGCCTGAGTCCTGCTCCCTTGTGGAAGCGACGTTAGTGTCGTTCGTGGTTTCCGGAGCCACGGGGAGCAGCCACGCGTGGCATCCCACCGCGACCCACGTTTGCAGTTCCAAACTCCCGTCCCGAAGAGCCAGGACTCCTGTTTTGCTAGGTGCCACCGTCCCTGGGTGCTCCATCTGCACCCAGTGAAGAAAAGATGACGACTACTAAACACAGGACTCCTTCTGTGTGAGGGCTGGTCTCACGAGGGTCCGAAACGCCCTACGTGGCTGTCTCTTGTTTTTGCTTTTTCGACTCTTCTAAGTCATACACGCTTGGTGTTATGCTACTTAATAAGACCCTTCTGTTACTCAAAGTGGAAAATTTGGGTTCCTTTAAAACAGTGGTCCCCAACCTTTGTGGCACCAGGTTCCGGTGCTCCTATGAGAATCTAACTCATGATCTGAGGCGGAGCTGAGGCGGTGATGCTGGCGCTGGGGAGCGGCTGCAGATTCGGATGAAGCTTCGCTGGCTCGCCCGCCGCTCACCTCCTGCTGTGTGGCTCGGGGTGGGGAGGGGGCCGTTGGGGACCCCCACTTTAAACGTTCTTGCCGATTGACTCACATCAGCACTTAGCAGAGGTTATTCCAGAGAACGTTCGTTCTCCAGAAAAGGGAGCAGAGGGGGGTCCATGAGCAAGCGAAATGGGAACTGTAACAACTCTCCGTGCTTCTTGGCTTAGTAAAGACACTCGAGAAGTCCCACGATCAGAACCTCTTCCACCCCGAACCCGGTGGACCCAAAAGTCCTTTTTCCCCGTCCTCTGCTCTGCTTGGGAAATGCCGAGAAGGAGATTCATTTCTGAAACCCCAGAGCCTGTTTTCTTGTGCGGGCAATTAGACTTGCAGCTGTTGCCAGCCCCGCCCTAACGACATAATCGCTTCCCGTTGCCCCCCGCCCCCCTCCGTCCAGTGGACTTGGCAGTGCAGTGTGCCCACCAGGGAGTGTTCTTCAACCAAGGCCAGTGCTGCACGGCCGCCTCCCGGGTGTTCGTGGAAGAACAGGTCTACGCCGAGTTTGTCAGACGCAGCGTGGAGTTCGCCAAGAAAAGGCCCGTCGGAGACCCCTTTGATGTCAGAACGGAACAGGGGCCTCAGGTAACATCCGGGAGGGGACCCCGTGGGCGGAGCCGGGCAGCCAGCCGCCCGTGTGATTCCGGGGTCCCTCTCCAAGCCGAGGGGAGGCTGTGGTTTCGATGTCCACCCACAGTACATGCAGTTCCATCCGGTCCCAGCGGGGCCATGAAGTGGGGTGGGACGCACAGAGGCTTTGCTCTTTTGCAGTAGATAATGCCGAGCTCGGGGCCTCACCGGCAGGGAGGCGCCCCCAGTTCATCGGGCTCTGTGCCTGTACCCTCCGGCCAGAGGACCGCTCCTGCTCTGAGCCACTGGGGTCCCCGGGACAGAGGTCCCTGCAGAAAAGGAGTTATAACTGTGGCCAGCAGGCAGCAGAGTGCGGGCGGGAGCCCCGACGGGGGCAGTGCCCGGAGCCGGTGGTCTCAGCCTAGATGTCCTTGAGCCTGTGTGTGTTATAGGCCAAGGTGACTCAGAAACCACGACATCCCCTTGCAGAGAGCTTGGGGCGGTGGGGGAGGGGGGCCGTGCGCATCGCCAGGCACATGTCTCTGGAGGCCTGGTCTAAAAAGCCAACAGGATGAAAACGATCATAACCACGAGGTTTTATAACCTCTTTAAAAGGGCACATCCTGTATCACTTTCTTGCTAATTATGCAGTCCAGCACATGGATAAATATTTAAAAGAGGACAGCCTGACCGTCCCATGCATTACTGAAATGGAGCTCGGCTGCAGCCCACTCTGTTCGTAGCCAAAGTCTCGCCCCAGCCATGAAGGTTTTAATCACGTGTCAGGACTCGGCCCCTCGCGTGTGTCCCGGGATTTGCCGCTTTCCCGCGGCTTGGGCACCGCGTGTTTACACGGGAAGCTGCGGAGCTGAGCACACACTTGGCTCGGTGACCTTGTGAAAGTTCCAAGCCCCTTTCAAACCTCAATTTCCTCGACTGGAAAATGGGAGTAATTGATGACTATTAAGAACATTGCAAGGCGCCCATTAAGTTCTTATTTTTTAAAGGGGGGGAGGGCGGAGCGTGACATGACAGACTCTTTGATCTAGGTGGCCGCGGAGGACTGCGTGACTTGAGGATATTTCTCTCAGGTCTTGCTGGGCCTGGGGGATGCTCCGGCTGGGGAGTGGAGGGGGTGGGGGTGCAGGACCAGTGAGAGAAGTGTTTTCTGACCGCTGTGCTCCCCACTCCCCGTGCCGCTGTGCTCTGAGGCTCTAATATCACATGACCCCGGTGGAGAAAAGCATCTCAGCTTGGGGCCAACACCCCCCATCCCACCAGCCTCAGCCCCACACCCAGGGGCCGGGGGCACAGAAGTCATCTAGCAGCTCTGGTTGAGTTTCAGATCTGAGTGCAAACATGGCCACAAGTCATTATCGAATCCACGGAGATTTTAAAACTAATCCAGACCCCATGGGAAAAGATGTGAGCTGATCCCGTGCTAAAGGAAACTCTTCTACCCCGTCATTATCCGTAAGTCTCTTTCCAAGGCTCCGGGCTTGAGTTTGGAAGCCAGATGGAGAAACCTCTTCCAAGAGAGCAGATCCAAGCGGAATAGGTGTTGATTTCATCCGTGCTTTTGATGCTTCTGCCGAAAGTCCTTTTTGAAAGCTCACTTAAGCCATCCGACCTCAGCATATTATTTTAGGATGCTGTTGGCTTTCCCGCATTCCCCCACCCCCATCCCCCTCCCCCCACAAAGTGCTTTTTTTCATCTACGGTAATGAGATTTTACTTTGGGAGGACTTACAGCTGTCTAAATAGTTCGGTCTGTGTCATGCCTGTAAAACAGCTCAGTGACCTAGATCTGCGTCCACTGCAGGCGTCCAGCCGCTTGCTGGAATGCTCCAACATCATTCAGGTTTATTTGGCAACCGAGCAACGAGGCGCGTAAACATCGCACGGGCCACCTGGCCGGGCCGGATCCGGCGTCCTCCCCGACAGAGCCAAGCGCAGCCTCTGACCGGTCGCCCGGGGCTGTGTGTCTCTGTCTCTGTGCTGTGTGTCCTGCCGCGTCCTTTGCTTCCGGCGGGATCTCCTTCCTGCCTCGCAAGGCGCCAGCTGACGTTTCTTGGAGGAGCGTGAGATTTAAACAGTGTGTTCGCACGGGCTTGCCAGGGAGAGCTGAGTGTGGGTGCGCAGGGGACCGGGGCTGAGAGCAGGCTTGGACTTCCAGCAGGAGAGAGCGACACCTGCAGTGTTTAACTAAGTTGAGAGAGCCTTGAGGATTTTCTGGACCCCTGGCAGTTGTTTGAATGAATTGCTTTCTGAACGGGGAACACATACGCACGGGACCAAACCCAAACGCGTATAAAATACCCTGCTCCGTTCCTAGGCCCGCTTCTTACCTTGCCCTCCAGCAATTTTATTATTTTTTTTTAATGCGTATACAAGCAAATAACAATATGGATTCCGATTCCCCATGTTTACCCCAAAGAGACCCGCGATACCTATGCTGTTTTGCACCTTGGTTTTGGGCCCCAACGAGAAACTCGAAGAACGTTCCCCACTGGTTTTGGGGAACGTGCCTCCTTTTTCACATGTGCATCAAATCTCGCCGTGTGAATCCTCCAGAACAGCTGAACCCGTAGGTGTGTGGAGAGCGTGTCACTTCGTGTAGGAGAATCCGGGCGATGCGTTCCCCGGGGAGCGAGAGCGCGGCCGTCACTTCTGCACGGATCGCCAAAGTACTTTCCAAGAGGATAAGACAACTTCTGTTCCCTCCAGCCTCGAAGGAGCTTGTCTGTTTCTCCAGACTTAATAACAGAATATGGATATTCGCCCATCTGATAGTTCAAAATGCATCTCGTTTGGCTTTAATGTCCGCGTAGCTCTTATAATGAGTAAGGTAGAACATCTTGTCGTAGCTTCAAAAGCCACCTGGATTTATGTTTCCATGAGCTGTGCGTGTGGCTTGTGTCTTTTTCTCTTGTATTGCTGGGGTTTTTCGTTTTTATCGCTTCTAAGAACTCGTAACGTACGAGAGAGATTATTAGCCCTGTTTCCATTTGACCTGTCGATTTTTTCCCGTTTGTTTTGCCTTTTGATTTCGCTTATGCCGTTTTTGCCTTTTTTTTTTTATTAAATGTACTTAAATATATCAATCTTTTCTATTTGGCTTCTGGATTTCGAGTCATAGAAAGGCCATCAGCACTCCAAGTTTCCAGAGGTTCTCTGTCATGTGAGAGAATTTGAAAACTTTTATGCTTTCCTTTTTCATAGTTGAGTGTTTGATCTATTTGGAATTCACCCTGGTATAAGGTGTGAGGTACGGATCCAACTTGGTCTTTTTAACCCTGGATCCACTCTTCACGAGAGGACAGGTCAAGTGACACGCATGGTTTGTCCCCAGTCCTTCTAAGAAAGCCAGCCTGCTCCTCTGGGACACGCTTGGGTTTGTATCGTTTTTGTTTTTTTTTAATTTAAAGTCGTTTACATGAAACCAGTTTTTTTGTCTAAACTGTCAACTACAGCCAACTTTTCAAAGTTCTGTCTCTCCCAGCCAAAGAGGAGGGAATGGAAACAGAGTCACGGGCAAAGACAGGCTTCCACGGATTCGAGAAGGACCAGCGGGGGCGGGGAGAGCACCCCTCCTGGAGCACAGTCTGCCCAGTGGGTGCTCTTTGACGGCTGGTTGGGTACCGTGTCCGCGAGCTGGGTGTTAGGCTGGTGGGATGGGCTACACTCTGCCCAGGAGATCACGAGACAAGGCGCCCAACGGTGGAGCTTCCTGACGAGCTGGCTCCCTGCCCACCGAGGAGCAGCCCCTCCACCTCACCTTGACTTTCCTCCGCTCTGTTTCCGGGGCTACGGAGTAGGATGGTCGCTTCTCCTCTGCACCACGGATGGAGAATTCTAGAAGCTGTTGCCCTGATCCACGGTGCCCTGGGAGCAGGGCACAGCGTTGCCAGATAAAATGCACGGCAGCCAGTTCGATTTGAAGTTCAAGTTCAACAATGGATACTTTCTGAGCATTAGTATCTCCCGAAGATGGGGAATGCTTCTACTTAAAAAAAAAATAATAATCATTCCTTGTTTTCAGAAATGCAAATTCAACTGGGAACGCTGTAATTTAATTTGCTAATTCCTGGCAACCCTCGCAGGATACAAAGAGTTGGGACAGCAAAGGGACCACTTCAGGTCGAGTTTCGCCCGTGAGTTTGCTTAGCGGCATGGTGAGGGTCAGACGTGTGAATAAAGCCCACACCTGCCGAGGAAGGGCAGAGCCTGCTCCCCGCCCCGCTCCGAAGAGCCTATATTTATTTGTACATTGGCGGAACGTTTGTTCCATGAATTACTTGGCCACAACATTTAGGGGTGAGACAGCCGACCCCGCTGGAGGCTGTGGGCCACGAAAGGTGGCAGCCACCGTCCACGAGGAAGCCGGGCTGTCCGCCCTGTCGTGTCTTGCAGATTGACCAAAACCAGTTTGACAAAATCCTCGATCTGATCGAGAGCGGGAAGGAAGAGGGAGCGAAGCTAGAATGTGGGGGCTCGGCCGTGGAAGACAGGGGGCTCTTCATCAAACCCACGGTCTTCTCAGAGGTCACCGATACCATGCGGATCGCCAAAGAGGAGGTACTGGCTGGCTTTGCTGAGCCGGGGTGGGGAGGTTGGGGGCAGGGCGGTGGCAGGGTCTTCTCTGGGGCTCAGGGGTCCCCAGAAGCCTCTGTGAGGGAAGCGTTTTACTTTCTGGTGCATCTTTTCTCCCCCGTGGGGGTCCTTAGGGAAGCCACCTTGCCTCTGGAAACCCCAGCCCTGTGCAGGGGGTGCAGAGCAAGCCTTTCCCCATTCATCACTCATGGTCCCTGTTCTCTAACACGTCCCAGGGCGGAAGGCCATTGCCGCCTGTGGGTCTTGCCAGGAATCGTGGATCCGTGGCCCAGACCGGAGTTGAACGAGAAGCCTGCATTCAAAGAGCAGGCCACGGAATTCTCCCTGAAGCGTTCTGTCGTGGCCTCGCTGGAAACGGTGGACGCGAAGGCGACCCCCCAAGAATGACCCTCTAACTCGGTCTCCCAGTTCCGCTGTTAAGCTAGAAGGACAGTGACTCCCACGCCGGTCCCCGGTGGTCAGATCTGGGGATGTGGCCCTTTGGGACACACGACAGAGTGAATCGCTGCCGAGGGCTGCCGGTGTGGGCATTTTATAGACGTTCCCCTTGAGATTTCTGTGGGTGACCAATCTCCTTGGGAACCTGGGAAGGTATTTTGGCGGGCTGGCACCGTCCTGCGGAGCTACAGTCGTCCCAAACATGGAATCAATTAGAAGCTCCTTTCAAAATTACCTCTAAACGTTCAGCCTTTAACTCTTTCGTTTCGTTTCTTTCTTTCTTTCTTTTTTTTTT